AGCCACGTGAACACGCTGGATTGAACAAGACCAGCACGTTCAAACTCTCGGCCACGCCGACTGGATGTTTCGTGCTAGCACAGTCATCGACTGTTTTTAAACAGTTTTGCTCGTGATACTTGAAATTTTTTTTAAAAAAAAAAAACAGACGATGTAGCACAAAAAAATATCAACAAGTTCATGATAATGGTTACGTGGTTTTATTTATTTTTTTAACCATAGGTGAAGCTAATTCTCGAAAAGGACACTATGTCTTTTCCATCTCGGGTGGGATGCTTATATATCTTCCTGCCATCCGGGAATCCCAGGTATGCTAATCCTGAGCGCAATTGTGCCCACTACCTTTCTACGGGGCAGGAGCAGACAGTGACTTCCAGTGAGGCGTGTATCAGCACATGATTACTACGAGGTTACCTTCCCATTTCAGATCACGTCTCTGGTTACACCTGGCTTCATTAAGGCTTTGGTGGAGAATTAAATACAAAATATACTTTAGAGTCTCTTACGGTGAAATCAGTACGTATGGCGGTCACCCCAGATTATTATCTATTCGAACAATGGTTCCTTACTGATATTAAATGCAGGTCAGAAGCAGGTGAGTGTTATGACATGGGCGCCCCAATCTCCTGACCTCAACCCCATAGAAAACTTATGGAGCATGTTGCTCAACTGCTTTCTCGAGAGCCTGTACTTTATAATGCTTCATAAGTTTTCTATGGGGTTGAAGTCAGGAGATTGGTGCAGCCATGTCATAACACTCACTTAAAAGTATTCCTTCATCAAATTTGATTTGTGACAGGGAGCATTATCCTGCATAAAAATGAGCTTGGTGGGGTCGATTTGCACCCTTTCAGCAGAAGGAAGCAGACAAAACTCTAAAATTCTCTTGTACTGCTCGCTCCTGAGGGTCTTTTCAATAGGTTTTAAGAAACCAGTTTCATGAAAGGAAAAGCATCCCCAGAACATTATATTGAACGGATGCTTGACAGTACTTACTGCTAAATTCAAAGAGCTTTCAAAGCCTCTTCGGATTTTAGATCGCTTATCCTTTGAATTTAGCTCAACTTTCGTTTCATCGTAGAAGAGAACATTTAGTAAAAAAAAAAAAAAAAATCAGGTGTGTCACTTTTAACGAACAGCACTGTATATACCAAGGTGCTTGTGTGATTAGTGATTTTCCAAGTAGAGCTTAGATGTGGCACAAGGCCGAAAGCATGGGGTACCCAGTGAGGATCGAACTCACTACTCAGTCGTAATTGCGAGATAAGATTGCTAACCTTTACACCGCCTCGGGGTGCCCAGGTGCGTGTGTGATTATATGCGTTTGTCCCCCGACTGTCATTACTAAAAGGTAACTGACATAAGCCCGCTCTTTTTTTGCGTGTTCAACAAGAAAACTTATGCTATAACGGATGCTACGTGTACTTGATGACTTGAAGACGCACAAGACATCAGGTTGTGACAAAGTCTATATGAGGCTGACTTCGGAGGCTAGCTGAGACCACAAGAGGTCATAAAATACATAGCAATTCTTACCAAAATGGACTTTGCTTTAGCGAACAAAAATGTGTTGTTGTTTATATTTATCTTATTTATCATTCTCAAATCTGGTAAACGTCTGCTTGTAACGTAACGGTTATCAGCGTGGATAGTGGTACGGGGTAGTCGAGATTAAACTCCAGTCGAGTCAGTTGCATAACATTCGCTACGCAGTAATACCCACGCGAAGGTATGCATCCATTTTTATCTCGCCCTAGCTATCGGCTAACTGGCTGGCTAGACTGGGGTCTCTCGTCTTGGGCGACGGTCAGTTTAGGAGAACGACTTCTCTGAATTCAACACACGAAGAGGATAAAAAAAAGATTCTACTTCAAACGTGGCATAAAGAATTATGTCAGGTCACTCAACGATTTCTACTGACACTATGTAACCAAGTACTTATCAGACACAGAGTTGAGTCATCGGTGATTAAACCGGTTCCCCCACCAGGCTTTTTTCTAGTGAGGGAGATGGATAGACATACAGCAGAATATATATATATTTTTTTTTTTTTTTAAAAAGACATGTCAAGTGAGAGATAAACGTGCTTGTGGGGGTCAAAAGCCGTTTAGGACGATGGGGGAGGCTAGACTACACAGATCGTTATTCAGCCAGGGTGATGATGACACGGCATGGCTGGGCGGAGGGGCTTCCTAGTTTAAAGTCAACGACCAGGACGGAGCGTTTCCTCTGATAGAATCAACGCTCATATATCCGTGACCAAGGCGAGCCTTCATGTTGGTGGACATCGACTGCAAATTGAACGCAACAGGGATAGGCTCGCTATGTCTGCATGTAAACCGCTCCGCCTTTCAACCCAGATGTGTAGAGGGAACTGGTCAGATACCATACGACCACACCCGATCATGAGAGTGATGATGCTGATGATGATGATGATGATGATGATGATGATGCAAAAAGAATCTGTAGAAAGCTATGTTCGTTTACGCTTTGGGCAGGTGTGCAGCATTACAAAGTTAACGGCCAAGAAGCTTAATTCTGATTTTCGCATTTAGCGGACCTCAATGACGGTAGAATTAATTGACAGCGTTTATTCTCTGTATTGCATTCAAAGAATCACAAAAGGTCAAATGGTTGTTGCTGGTGCTTCTTGATCGAAGCAGTTGAAGGAAAAAGTGGTTTTAGCATCAAAGGTCATTGGAGGTCAGCAAAGATCAATGTTTTTCAACCAAACAAGAAATTAAAACTTGAATTTATCTGGATTTTTTTTGTTTGTTTGTAAAATGCTGTATTCTAAATGTAGTCAGCAGAAGGAGGCTTTGTGCATTCGCATGTCCACATAAATACAACAGATTTGCGTTTTAAATGCAATTTCTAATTAGTGTCAGCTCTGACATTACCGCCAACAAGGCACAATGGTAATCTTTTAAAAGTACAGGTTTCAACGTTCGGATTGAGTAGCGGTTATATTTACTATCGCAATTTTGCTCATTGAAAAGGCATGAAACCATTTATTCTCACTACTTCAGGTATGGCTGAATAACAGAGCAGATTTAGCTGGTAACCGGTTGAAAACTTCTCTGAATTCTAAATTGTGGAGAAAGCAATGTCAAACGACTCTGCTTATATTTTTTTTTGCCAATTTACAGATATGACAGAAAAAATTCATTCTGTAAAGAGCTGAAGATGTCCGGCTTTCTAAAGAAACTAAAACTCTCAACTTGCTTTTTTCTATGATCAGCTTTTACGCGATTACGCGGCCTTGTGGTTAATGAACTATTTGCCACCCTACACCCCTTTCTCCCGTGGCTAGTCTATTATCATCTCCATGAAAAATACTTTTCTCAATTCACGATCGCTCGAGAGCATTTGCGTAAGTAGATGTAACGAATCAGACTGGATTTCGAACTTAACTCTTCGATTTCTAATCGCGAGCCGTTATCCATTACACCACCCGCACTGGCAAGCGCTTCGTATTCCCAAACGGTCACCCATATACGTACCGACTAGCTTCACGTTGCTTAACTTCGGTGAACAGAGGTAAACCGGTGTTACGACGAGATTTAATAGAAGATAAAATTTTGTTTTCTGTTGCAGAGATTTTCTTTCGTTTTCGCTAAAAAAATATTGCGTGGTTCTAAACTCTTGACACTGATTGTAACAGAAAAACGAATATAGTTGAGCGCTTGTTTCAGAATACAATCGTCTGTATAGGTGATAAGATAGCCCTTGGTGCAGACACCCCTTCACGTTTATATTGCAACTATTCTGGGGCGGGGATTTAACTCATGATTCTGTGAGAGAGCGAATGACCTGGCACGATCAGTTGTTGAACAAGGCCAGTAGGTTTAAATACTCGGCCACGCTGACTTGATGTTTCGTGCTAGCACAGTCATCGACAGCTTTTAAACAGTTTTGTCTACTCTATTTCACAACGTCTCCATATACATACATACATATATATATATATATATATATATATATATATATATATATATATATATATATATATATATATATATATAAAGAAAGAAAGAACAGTAAGATATACAATCCGGTGATCCAAAATTCGCTTGAGGATGAAATGGAACCAATGTCTTTAATTTAATTACAAAAATAAATTCAAGCTTTTAGCTTCCAATTCTGAAACATGGTTGAACTGGGTAGCGAAAAAAACATATTTTAAATCAGTTAATTTATAATATATATATATATATATATATATATATATATATATATATATATATATATGAATGGGTAGGATAAAAAGATGTCCATACGTATATATACATGCATAGCACCTTTTTAGCCAGCTTACCCTGAAGATCCACGTAGATTTGTCTGGCTTTTAGGTCTACTTATATACATACATACATACATACATACATACATACAAAATTAATTCATATAAAAATATATATATATATATATATATATATATATATATATATATATATATATATATATATATATCCTTAGGTGCAATGTTGAATAATAGAACTATTAAGTAATTATTATTAAAATGCATAGTATCACATGCCACTAGTACGAGTTACATGCTACTAATGCAATCATCAGGTAATGATATATATATATATATATATATATATATATATATATATATATATATATTTTTAAATGTAACGAGAACGAAAAGAATATAAATTCAGATGTTCATAGCATCAATTTAAAAGAAGGCTCAATGCCAAGAGTCGAGCAATAGTTACTTATAAAGATGCTACATACGCCCAAACAAGCACTCACCACCAAAAATGCATTTTCGTTTCGATGCGAATGCATCCCGACAGGTGAAAAGGAAAGATGGTAACATAATTATAATAAATAATATATACATATGTGGGGGTGTTTGTAGACAAACATAACAAACAATCAAACAATATATTAACAGATTGGAATAAAATGAAGTGAATAAAACTGAATAATCGAGAGGAGATAGATAGATAGATAGATAGATAGTGACAGAAAATCGACTGAATTATTTAGCTAAGAAAGAAAGAAAGAAAAAAAGAAAGAAAGAAAAAAGAAAGAAAGAAAAAAGAAAGAAAGAAAGAATATTTTAACTGACTGGAACAAAACGAACTGAATAAAACTCTATTATCAAGAGAAGATAGATATATAGATAGATAGATAGATAGATAGATAGATAGATAGATATATATGTATATAGATATATATATATATATAGATATATATATATATATAGATAGATAGACTAGGATATATACATAAGGAATCGACTAGGATATATACATAATGAATCGATTAGGATAGATAGATAGATAGATAGATAGATAGATAGATAGATAGATAGATAGATAGATAGTAATTTAATGAAATATATCTTACATAGCAACAATAATATCAGCGCAAATCCGTCTTTTTTTTTAACGTAACTGAAGCAAAATTAGAACAGCCATATGTAGAATGTCAAATGATGGAATGAAATTACTGCTGACATATCTCTCTATCGAAAAGACACAACCTCATAAATTATATTCCATCAGAGATTTCTTGTGTTGTCTTTTAATACAATAATAGTATATCCAGTTTTACAAGTAGAAATCAGGTTTTACTGTTCGTGACTCATTTTCAATAGATTCATTTCCGAAACCCACGTGGCATAGATTTTAATTTCAGCAGAATTGCTGAATGTATATTATGAACATTATTTTTTACTTTGACACGTTTCACCGGTGTCATCAGAAAAAGAAATTTATCTACAGTAGCGAGATAAAACGTGATTCATGTTCGGCAGCGAGAAGTGATGCATTGACAGTGGCATGATTTTCAAGCCCACAATGATAAAAATAATAATAATAATAACAATAATAATAATTTAATAATAATAATAATAAGTTACTTTGTTACTTGAATAATAATATAACATAATAAATCAAATAAAATATTATAATTTAATTACTAATACTGTTGCGAAAGACAAAAAGTTATCTCCCTTTGAATAAACCTTTAAAAGCTAAAAACAGATATATAGAGCTAGTCATCGGAACTGCCCGTGAGATCGTTAGACGCGAAAGTCAAAACATCCTCGTTTTGTTCAGACTCTGACTTAATCCAGTTCATTATATATATATATATATATATATATATATATATATATATATATATATATATATATATATATATATATTACTTATTATAAAACGCAGATTGTGTGTGTGTGTGTGTGTGTGTGTGCGTTCATATATTGGATCGGATTTCCTACATTTTTCAACTGATTTCAACAAAACTTCACAGGACTGCGTAAAATTACCTAGCGGTGGTTCTGACAGCGCCCAAAAAAAAAAAATGAAAAAAACACAATTGTTTTTGCACGAAATCAATTTGAAAACACAACTCTGTTGCCAGAATGAAAGGGGGACAACTCATATCGAGTTATACTTATTATAAAAACCCAGGTTGTTTGTGTGTGTGTGTGCGTGTATTTGTTTATATATCGGATTGGATTTCCTACATTTTTCAACCGATTTCAACAAAACTTCACTTTTTTTTGGCAGGTAGTGTTTCTTAGTGTCTTGCACACTTTATTCTTTATTTTTACATTCAGAATGCATTAAAAATTCCATTTATAAGACAATTGTTTATAATAAAATTCTGTTCAATCGATAGACTCATAACGATTGAAAACAATGTTTTTATTTGAGTTTGGGTTTGACCAATTCGTAAAAAAAAAAGAACAAAAAAGCTAATTAAGACATGCGTGTCAGTCAACCTTAAGCAATAATCTTTGTCAATTTTATTTTTCAGTCTTTATGATGGTCGATACTTGATCTATCTCTTACTCTTACTGTCCCCGGGCAACGCCGGGCTCTACTGCTAGTATATATATATATATATATATATATATATATATATATATATATATATATATATAGATAGATAGATAGATAGATAAATAGATAGATAGATAGATTCAAACAAGATTTATTGAGTAATACAGAGAGGTCTATTTATGTTTTAAATAATAATAATGATCCTTTCAATTTTTCTATTTAGCTTCTTGATAGTAATTTGAAATTCATCAAGGAAGACGCTGTAGTTTTTGTTAGCACAAGGTCTTTCGATCTCCTCCGAGTTCATTTTCAGGGGCGAATTGCGAAGACAAACTTATGGTAACTGTGATCGTTGTGATGGGGATTTTTCAAAACACGCCTTTTTTTAAATTTTTTTATTTTCCCGTTGTAGCTATGATTTTTTTGAAAGCGTCCCAATATAGGGGAGCTAACCAGAGATATTAGAAAAGTAAAATAGCATTAAACGTGGATCAAATGCATTTTAACTGTTGCTGCTACACTGTCATATATATATATATATATATATATATATATATATGTATTCATTGAATTATCAATATATATATATATATATATATATATATATATATATATATATATATATATATATATTTATAGATATAGATAGATAGAAAAAGAAAAACAAATTAGGGTAGATAGAAAGATAGATAAAAAACAAGTTAGGATAGATAGGAAAACAGACTGAGATAGATATAAACATAGATCGGAATAAATTTATATATATATATATATATATATGCATATATATATATATATATATATATATATATATATATATATATATAAAAAAAAAAGGAAAGTTTTTATTTACGATCGCGTTTTGTCATCTGATAGACTTTATCAAATCATATGTAAGGATTTTATTTTGCAACATGTATTTATCGACGTGAATAAAAATATAGTGAACTTAAATTTTTTAAATTGAAGAACTCTTAAAATTATACATAAGGATAAACTATGGAGATAGCTAATTGATATAATATAATGCCTTATAAACGAAAGTGAGTGAATCTGCTATTGTTGTTGAATTTATTTTCTTATATATATATATATATATATATATATTAGGAAATGGACAAAATCCGACAATTTATTTATTAAAGACATTTTTATGTTTAACGTTCTTTTTTATAGATACAAGTATTTAAGTAAATGCTCTGTTTATAATAAACAGTATTAAATAAATTTTCATAGAAAATATTCGTCCTTTGACAGGATTCGAACCTGCATCCTATACGGAACCGTCATTTACGCTGACGTGCCTTGACCGCTTGGCCACAAATGATCGTTCGGTTGGTAAGGTTGAATTTACTGCATATGAATGTACGAGATTCGTGGAAGATTGAAGTTCTCAAGAGATTTCCGTCTAACGAAGTTATTTTCACTTTTAATAAGTGCGGGATACATTAGATCGAAGTACTCGTTGACCTTATTTTGGTGGGTGACTAATATTTGTTTTTTTTTTTAAATCTCTACAAGTTTCTCCAATATATTGTAAGAAACGGTCATATGTTTTTTTTTTGTTTATTTTGTGTTGTTTTTTTTGTTTTTTGTTTTTTTACTGTTAGAAATATACTGTATCAAAATACTTACGTTATATTTGAGTATTTTTTTTTTAAGCATTTCACCCCTAGCAAGGCGGGAGTGCCACTAGTAAGCAAGGGGTTACAGAGAATGAAAGTAAGGGAAAAGACTGTGCAACTGACCTACTGCAGAAAGAAATGACAACCTACTGCAGGAAAAAAATTGCCTCCATTCATGTATCGAAAGGTACATGATCGCCTAAGCGTGTATCGTGCACTGACAATACAGGTGTGCACAAAACATTCCTTCTGTGCGCTTCAAAGGAAGGATAACAAATTCTGATTTAAACAAAAAAAGGGATTATACAGAGAAAAATGTCACAATTAGATTGATAAGAATATATATATATATATATATATATATGACCCTTTCATAAATAGAAAAAACGGGAAAAACTTAGTAAAAGGAATAACAAAATGGCACAAGACAGAAATATTTCAAAGAGCACCCACATCCATTCTTAACAGTTTACACAAACAGGATGTCTTAGCTCAAACGAATGTTTTCTCCAGGGCTCTTAGAATATTGCCGCAAAGATCACTTGTATCTTCCGTATGAAGAATTCTCTGGTAGGCTCATAAAGAATTTAAGTTTTGGGGTAGAGATCTACCTCGAATCTGTCAACACTGATTTAAGACCGTCCTTTGACGTCTCTCCTTTCACATCAACAGCACATTTCTTCTGTCTGTTGTTCTCTCATCCGTTGATAGCAGTCCTTTTTATTGAAAAGGTGACCATCATATCGACTCCAGCCAAAATTTCACAACGGTCAGAAACTTTTTTCTCGTTGGTAAATATATATAAAAACGCTCCCCAAGTATTTTTGTGATGTCAACGAACACTCGTTGACACTCTTTTGATGTCAACGAATACTCGTTGCTACTTTTGTAATGCTCGTTGTAGTAGAGGCTTTGTAATCGCAGATACAACTATAGTAACGCCGTTGAACGATACTAGTGTCAGACGCCTTCTAATAGTACTTGCTCGATAATACTCGCTCGAATAGTAATCCGTATAGTGATCCGAATAGAGAAATAGTATAGTGAACAGAGTAGAGAATAGCGGTCCGTATAGTAATAGAGGATAGACTAGAAATGGCGATCGTTTAGACGTCACGCTACTATATACTTGTGCGTTTCTCCCATGGTCACGTGATCCACTTAATTTAATAAAGGGATCGGCTATGTTTGCTCACTGGCGATCTATGTTCAAACTGAAGTGTCGGCAGCGACACTTTATTCCTATATAACAGTATGCAAAAAATGAATCCGAAACACTTCAAACAATTTTGGCGTTATCACCGCTTGAGCCTAACAGGCCAAAAAATTTGCACAAAATTTTCACACACGAACCGTCTGATCTTTCGAAGAATACACTTTTCTCAAAACGTGTATAAAAAAACCTAGAGGATTATACGTAGATCTTTAAAATAAAATAAAATAACGATTTTCTACTTTTCTTGGTGGACTGACTTCGGCGGATGTTTAGGAAATGGTGCGCGACAGGGAAAACGCTGGCTAATTCCCCAACTCAAAACAGTGTCAGTTTGGTCGAAAACTTTGTTTATACTATTGGAGATGTAGTTCTACCGATGAATACCGAAAACAGCGTGAAGAGAACGAAGAGAAAGTTTTACGGTGACAATCAGAAAAAAAAGATTCCTGCGATGCGTAGCGAGGAACGAGTGAAGCCTAGTGAATTTCGCAATGGCAGAGCGTGCTGAAGAGAAGCAAGGAGAAACAGCAATTAATCTATTTAACCAGTTAAGGGAATGGATGGCCAAACAAGGAGAAAGAGAAAGAGAAATTGTAAAAATCTAAAACTTATATAAATAATCTTTCACGGTTAGTGTGTATTGACTGTACAAGTTAAATCTGCAGATGTGAAATTTCCTCTCAAGGCTCAATACCCTATGCTTCACGCTGAGATAACTTTCAAAAAGCCGTAAACGGATTAATGACAAAATTTTAAGCGGATTTAATCCTAATATGATTTTGTAATAAAAAGACAGGTATATAATATTCTTTTTAACACCTTTTCAGCCACCTTCGATATTCAAACCTTTACATAATACCATCAATGTAAGATTATGCACGAGCACGTCAACATGGTGTAATGGTTAGCAATTTTCTCGGTAGATTAATTACTGCTGAACAGTGTTCGATCCTGACATGGTGCCCTATACTTTCGGCCTTATGCCATATCAAAGCTACGTTGAGAAAATTTCCATAATCCAACGTGTGCTTCATGTTAATATCATGTAAGTGAATGTAACGAACTTGACTGGAATTCGAACTCTCTCATATATATATATATATATATATATAGTCATCCACAGACAGACTGTTTCGTTGTATCACAGTTCATCAGTGTGGCTAGTCATCCGATTGTTTCAAGTCAGAGATTCTACGACAGAGAAAAAGGGAAATTTCAACGTTTTTGCTATACGAAACATGTCAGCGGCAAGGAGAGCTCGATTCTAGTTGAAGAGCATTGCATTAGCAGCAGCAACCACTGTTTAGAGCATCGGATTGATTCAAGCCGGGATCGAAACGCGACCGATTTGGCATCAGTCAGACGCGAATTTTTTTGTTTATTTTTTGAATCAAAATTAAATATAAAATAAACGACAGATTTTAAGTTACAAATATTTTTTTTTTCATTTTTTTAAATATTATTATAGCTTAAGTACTCCAGTTCACGAATATATGAAAAAATTATTAAATTTTAAAACGTTAGTAGGGGTTCTACATTGCTGTGCAAATTCATTATAAACTGACCACCCTACGGAAGCCAAAACAAATATTTCTTAAAATGTAAAAAACGAAATAATTTTCAATAATTGTAATCTGGAGTTCTTTTTTCATCGATACGAGGGAGATGTGGCTCTACAGAAGGATGCTAAGGATAACATGGACCAGGTGTGTGAGCAACAAAGAGGATGTAAACAAGGAGAAGGTTTAACATGAAGAAGAGGTAGCTGAATTCCTGGGCCACATAATGAGGAAGGAGGGCCTAGAGAATCTGATACTCACGGTTCGAATAGAGGGAAAGAGAAACAGAGGAAAACAAAGCATTGTGGCCTTAAACAAGTGGATGACAGGGCGTGGTCTGGGGGAGGTGGCAGAGGGAAGGAATTTGTTGAGAGCTGCATGGGATAGAGGGAGGTGGAGAGCCATGATCGCCTACGTCCTGTAAGGACACGGCAGATAGAAAGAGAAAAAAAAAAGAATTACTCAAGATTGAGAATTTCGAAAAAATATTTAAGTTAAAAAAAAATATCAAGGAAAAAAAAATTTTTTTTACCAACACGGAGTGAGTAAGCAACAAAAAAGTCTTAAAGAAAATGAGAAACATAACGAGGAAGGGCGGTTTGGAAAACTTAACCCACACAGGGCACAGTGAGAGCAGGTGAGATAGGGGAAGGGTTCAAGTCACTTAACTGACGAGCTTGTGTCAATATATGGCCGAATGGGGTGGCGGTCGTAGAGCTAGAGCGAAGAAATAAGAACTGTAAAGAGCCACAAGGGATGAGGAAGTCGTGGAGACCCCTGATCTCATGTGACCTGAAGGGACGCGGCCTCGCGGTCTCGTTAACATTTCGATGCTTATTCACGATAATATGGCTTACGGCCACATCAGCTTGAAACATCGGGCTCCTGTAGGATCACCGAAGTTAAGCAACGTCGAGTCGGGTCAGTACCTAGACGGGTGACCGCTTGGCAATATCAGGTACCGTAAGCTTGAATGTGCGGTTGTTGTAATGATTAATGACTCGGGGTTGTTAATCGGATAGTTGAGTTTCAATTCCCGTTGGGTACGTTATATTCACTTACGCGCAAATACCCTTGGGAAAAGTAGGAATCCACCTCTTCTCCCTCCTGCTATGGGTTAAATTTTAGGACTTGTATCACTTATACCATTATAATCTAAAAATAAAATTGCGTACAAAATAGTTACATTTCAGAATTAGATAACCCATAACCCTTCTCTCCCCAGCTATGGGTTAATTAGTAAGACATATCAATAAATCATTATTATCTAAAAAAAAAAATCCATATAATGAAGGCTTTAAATAACCTGCAAAGGGTTGATAAACCGTAAAAAAACGAAACAATCAGATCATCAAGATTTTACATCGTAATGCCCTCAAAGCCATTCAACTTTACGTCATCATATTCTGTCGAAAACTGTAGGTCATTCATATTTGATCGAGAATGCAGAAGATTTTCAGATACCTACATGCCCGATAGGAGGTTAAAGTTTAGAATTATTTTTTAAATACGGGGCAGAATTTTTTTTTTGCTTAATTTTCAGTTTTATCGCCCGCGCTCAGTTCAGATTAAAAAAAAATTCCAGAATACTTACATTTATATGTAAATGCATATTCCCCATTCGAATCTGGCTTGATAACATTGATAAAATCTACCGTTTTGGAGTTATCGACAGTAAAATTTCGGATTCATTCGCGTCGTTGGCGGCAGCCATTACTGTCGTTGTTTACATAAGTTTGCTGCGGATATCTATCGAGTGTAATATTCACTTGTGTTGATTATTGCGCGCGCATCGCACAACTAAGCTTGAGTACGTAAATAGTTCTCTTGCGTAGTAATTAAGACAAGTAGGATCAGCCAAAAAAAAAAAAAGCCGGTTAACTACATTCTTCCGCGTTTAGGTAGATTTTATCAAATTTATCAAGCGAGATTCGAATGAACATGTACAATTACATCTAAATGTAAGTATTCTGGAAATTTTTAATGCGAACTGAGGACGGATGCTAGACTGCAAATTAAATTGTTTTTTGTTTTGTTTTATTTCTTTTTTTTTAGGGGGTGCGTGTTTAAGCGTAAAGATGATTTTTTCAAAGTGAAAACTTCGGTGTAAATTGAGATTTTCCCAAAATGAAAGCGATTTTTTTTTTTACCCCCAAATTAAAATGTTATTAATATTCTTTATTCTATATTTTGTATTGGAAATCAATAAAAATCCAATATCCCTGATACTCCATTAACATGTAAACACGTTTATCTTATTTATTTAGTTATTTAGTTGAGATCGAAAAATCAATAAATAATTCTAATCCATATTTTTAATTGATTTCCCGCCAGAAGCCTACTTGAAATCTAACTTAGTTTGAAACGAGAACACGTACCCTCTGAAAAATTTGTTGTTCATCTTTTAATTCCCCACTCAACATAAAAAAAAATAGAATCTCCATCAACCACGCGCATCAGATGCTGTTGTGGAAGCTTTCGTGGATTTGCCAAGTCAAAGAAGACGTTTTCCATACGCTATCCATCTTAAAGATTCTCTCATTCTCAGCAGCATCCAAGTGACTCCGAACAATGATTCAGACATTTCTCAGAAATAGATAAATATGCCGGCGCACGGATCCAAGAAGAAAATTTTAGTAGTATGCACCTTGTTTTATGAGCGAAACAGCCAATTTCAAAATGCCTTCTTAACAAAAAATAAAAATAAAAATTACCCTTTACCAGGAAAATCTTTAGAACTTTTAAAAATAGATACTTTTGCTGAAGAAGCAGCTGCTCTTTTGTTTGTGCAAAAGAATGGTTTTATGTTTCATATTCGCTTAACTATTTTGCTTGACGTCTTAAATTCATATTTAATGAAACTGAATAACGTGAAAAAATATATAACAATATTTGGAATTTTCTAAGTCTTGTCGGAAAGACGTTTAAAAAATTGACAGAATGAAGATAGCCTGGAAAAATTGTGTGAACTCTTTTCCATTACGTGCAGGTTACGAAGGAGTCGCCATTTTATAGAATGTGCAGTTTTCCAGCAAAAATATGGAATCGAATCAAGTAATTAATTGCAGACCCACCAAATGGTGCAAACTGAAAAAAAAAAAAACAAAAAAAAACGTTGAAATGAACGAAATAAAAATAAAACTCTTGAGATTTATTGTAGAATATTATTGTCTTATGTTGAAATAACAGTTTGAAGAAAGAAAGAAACAGAAGAAAAGAAAGCAAGAAACAAAAGAAAAGAATGAAAAGAAAGAAAAGAAAGAATGAAAGAAAGAATGAAAGAAAGAAACAGAAGAAAAGAAAGCAAGAAATGGAAGAAAAGAAAGAATGAAAGAAAGAAAAGAAAGAATAAAAGAAAGGAAGAAAAGAAGGAATGAAAGAAAGAAACAGAAGAAAAGAAAGAAAGAAAGAAAGAAAGAAAAGAAGGAATGAAAGAAAGAAACAGAAGAAAAGAAAGAAAGAAAAAAGAAAGAATGAAAGAAAGAAACAGAAGAAAAGAAAGAAAGAAAGAAAGAAAGAAAAGAAGGAATGAAAGAAAGAAACAGAAGAAAAGAAAGAAAAGTAAGAATAAAAGAAAGAAAAAAAGAAAGAATGAAAGAAAGAAACAGAAAAAAAGAAAGAAAGAAAGAAAGAAAGAAAAGAAGGAATGAAAGAAAGAAACAGAAGAAAAGAAAGAAAGAAAGAAAAAAAGAAAGAATGAAAGAAAGAAACAGAAGAAAAGAAAGAAAGAAAGAAAGAAAGAAAAGAAGGAATGAAAGAAAGAAACAGGAAGAAAAGAAAGAAAAGAAAGAATAAAAGAAAGAAAAAAAGAAAGAATGAAAGAAAGAAACAGAAGAAAAGAAAGAAAGAAAGAAAGAAAAGAAGGAATGAAAGAAAGAAACAGAAGAAAAGAAAGAAAGAAAGAAAAAAAGAAAGAATGAAAGAAAGAAACAGAAGAAAAGAAAGAAAGAAAAGAAGGAATGAAAGAAAGAAACAGAAGAAAAGAAAGAAAAGAAAGAATGAAAGAAAGAAACAGAAGAAAAGAAAGAAAGAAAGAAAAGAAGGAATGAAAGAAAGAAACAGAAGAAAAGAAAGCAAGAAATGGAAGAAAAGAAAGAAAAGAAAGAATGAAAGAAAGAAAAGAAAGAAAGAAAAGAAGGAATGAAAGAAAGAACAGAAGAAAAGAAAGAAAAGAAAGAATAAAAGAAAGAAAAAAAGAAAGAATGAAAGAAAGAAAGAAAAAGGGAAAAGAAAGCAACAGAAGAAAAAGAAGTAAAGAAAGAAAGAAACAGAAAATAAAGAAACAGAAGAAGGAAAGAATGAAGCAGAAGAGGAAAGAAAGAAAGAAAAAGGGAAAAGAAAGGAGCAAAAAAAAGAAAAGAAACAAAGAAAAAGAGAAAAGAAAGAAACGGAAAAAAAAAGAAAGAAAGAAAGAAAGAGAAAAGAAGGGAATTGAAAAAAAGAGGTAAAAAAGAAGACAAAAACAAAAATGAAAGAAAGAGAAGAAAAAGAAAGAGGCAGAGGCAAATGAAAAGAAAGAAGAAAATGAAAAAAATATATGAAGAAAAGAAACATAAGAAAAGATCGAAGCAGAAAGAAAAAAGAAAGAAACAAAAAAAGAAGAAAAACAAAGAAAGCAACAGAAGACGTAAGAAAAGAAGAAAGATAAAATAGGAATATTAATATTAATAAGGAGAAATAGAAAAAGAAATTCCAGAAAAAAACGAAGAATGAATACAATACAATTGAATGAAAAAAATTGAAATGCCATTAAAAAGAACATTGAACAGGTTTTATCTTTGTTAAAAAAATGCTATGCCAAATCATATGTGGTTAGCAAATCAATTCGCACTGCAGCCTTTGATAATTCTATTTGGCATCAAAAGGAATACAATATCAAATAGATACGATGGTAAGCAGAATGGAAGAAAGCAATAATCGCAAATAGGTAAGAAAAAAAAACAGGCAAAATGATGCCAGCAGATAAAAACATAAGAGACATGAACTGATTGATTGTTTCATTTTTTTACGGAATATCAAACCATTGTAGCTTATTTAAAGCAAGAAATATTTTCACATTGTGACAATTTTTTGTGGAGAGTAGATAATATTTATTGTAATTATACAAGTTTTACTAATTAATGCTGGTGGCAGAAGAGGTGAGTTCATACCTTTCCCAAAGGCAATCCCTCCGTAAATGAATATAACTAAATCAAGGGGAATTGGAATACGACTCTACAATTAAGAATTTCGAGCCATTATCCATTACCCCACCCGTACACCCAAGGTTACAACACCAGGTATTCAACACCTGGAATTCTAAACATTTAGGTACAGACCAGGCTGAGCGTTGCTTAACTAATGTGATTCTTGTGAAACGGGTAGATACGAACTGAGTAAAACAGTTAATGTCCACTAACATAAATAGATAGATAGATACCGAATAGACATAGATAGATAGATAGATAGATAGATAGTAGTAGTAGTACAAATTTTTCTTGTACTCGTGGCGTAAATATTCTTCAAGAACAATTAAGATTGGTCAGAGAAAGGGTGAAGGAAGGAGGTCTTTGTTCTTATCTTTTTATGACCCTCCATATCTTTATAAATCTATCTCCATTTTTGAATATTGTGTGCATGTGTGTTTTTGTTAGTATGTCTATAGATAATTCTTCTCCATACATAAAATATTTTTTTTATTATAAGGATTGGCATATATATATATATATATATATATATATATATATATATATATACTAGCGGCGTTGCCCGTGCTTGATTCAAAAATCGTACGACACATACACCAATCGCTATCACTTGACTTAAAATATTTTTGCCCTTCCTTGCCTTTAAAGGAGTGCCATTTGCCGTGCTGATGTTGCTACATGCCTTACTTCTTGCCTATCTCACACTGCGAATTTTTTCTAAGCTCTATACTAAACATTAAATCTGTTACGAAAAAGAACTAAACAAAATGAACACAAAATGATCAGCTTTAAAAAAGGACTCGTAACTGGAAAAACCGAATGAAAAAAGAATGTTAACAACAAATACTTTTTCACACCCAACCCAGTTCTGCGGAATCAGAATCAAGAGAATGAGCCGATTGGAATAAAGTGCCATGCAGATTTATATTTTTCCCACTTGTGATAAATGCAGCTATCGATTTTTTTGCATGCTAGCATGCTAGTTAACATCCGTGTCAGTCAGCTGTTGGCTCTCACGCTGGCCAATAGAATCTTCCTGCCTATTCGTGGCAGCCAGCTTTAGGCTCCGACTCTGGCCAATAGAAAATGGCCGCAAACTACATGAAAACTGCCGTAGAAGCATGAAAAATCGATTATTTTCACTATCGATGGGAGTTGGGAAATGTAAAGTCGATCTTGTCCTTCACGCTAACTTGGAACATGTGCATGTAGATTTTAGTGCAAATCCGTCGAAAATTGCGACCGTGCATTCGTTACACACATACACACACACACACACACACATCCTGCCTTATATATATATATATATATATATATATATATATATATATACTTCCTATGTTGTGTAAGGTTCGTGTGTGTGATGGTGGTCAGTCTATTGTTTGTTTTTGCCAGTATGTATATAAATATTCGTTCTCCATAGATACTTGTGTGTGTATGTGTGGGGTAGGACGACTAGTGTAGTCGTCCATTATGTGTATACGCTGTGTATTTATATGTGTGGGGGTTATGATCTGTTTAGTGCTGTTTTAAATTTTGGCTATGAGGTTTTTTTTCTTGTATTTGTAGGTAAAATAATTGTCTGTTTGATATATTGACATAGTTTTAAATTTAATTGATAACATTTATAAATGTGTTGTGATACAAAGAGTTTTCTGTTATCTGATAATTTGATGTTTCTCCTGTGAAGGGGAATTCTATGGTTTAGTTCTTGGCTGATACCGATATAGGACTTGTTGCATTTTGTGCATTTGTGTGCGTAAATCATATTTTTTGGAGTTGCAGTTTAAATTTTTATTTATTGTGAATGTTGTTGTGTGGTTTTCAGAAGAGTAGGAGTTTCTTTTTATAATGATATCATAAACCCCATTTCTTTATTGTTAAATTTTGTGACACCCTGTGTTGTGTCTTGTCTAAATTTGGATGAGATTAAATATGTTTTTAGGGTATATATATATATATATATATATATATATATATACGCAAATTTTAAAATGCAGGAGATTTCTTTCGACCAACACATCGTCAAAAGAATACGTTCGTAAATATTAATTGACCAGGAAAACAGAATTCGCACTTCGAGAAAATATGAGGAGACAAATGAACCTCCGCTTACATTTTCTTGCAGTGCGAATTCTTTCGTTTTCTTGGTCAATTAATATTTATCAACTTATTCTTCTGACTATGTGTTGGTCGAAACGGATCTCTTAAGAAAGAATAATGCTTCCTTGCATTTTAAATCTGTGTTTATGTTCTGTGGCGTCAAATTTCTGTTTAAATCTCTCTCTCTCTCTCTATCTATCTATTCCTCTCTCTCTCTCTATCTCTCTCTCTCTCTCTCTCTCTATATATATATATATAATATATATATATATATATTATAATATTTTTTTGTTTAAAAATATGATTCCTTCGCTACATAAGAGTTCTCATGTTTCAAAAACGAGAGCCGAAACCATCCAAATAATTATTAAAATTAAGTTGAATTGAGGTGTTTAGTCCCGTTTCATCTTCAAGTGAAATTTTAGGAATAAGCTATCTCTTTGAATATTGTTGAAAGAGTCCTTGTGTTGTCTCCATCTAATTTTAAATTTATTCTTCATTGACCCAATGTATATCCTATCAGTGTTAGGACTCTCAGTGGATGAGATAGTGCATTGGTATACCACAGATTTTGTGAGGCATTTATTTTCCAACGGGCAGTCTTTAGGGTTCTACAATCACATAATTTTTCGTTATTTTATCTAATTTCCGTTTTATATATATATATATATATATATATATATATATATATATATATATATATATATATATATATATAAAAATGATAATTGGAAAAATCTTGCATTTTGTCGACGCCTTTCGTTTTTCGACTTTATCGAGGCCAACAATGAAAGCGAAATGTTTTGTTATAGTTATATTAAATCCAAAATTTCAAAAAGAGAGACGCTCATGAAGAAAGACTCTTTCTGGTTAATGGTAGCTTTCTTTATACTAAGAGTTTGTTTTTAGTTTTCCATGTCGACAATATTGTTAAATTTCCCGCAATATTTCCGTGGATAAGACAAATTGGCATAAAAATTAAGAATAAATTTTGGATTTAATCCTTTGAGTCCTACGTTCCTGTGTTCCTTAGTCAAAATTCGAAAATAATTAGTATGTAATGTTTCACGGTAGATATAAAAATACTTACAAGTGTTTACCCACTGTTCAACCGGTAGCTTGGCATTAAGACAATTTTCTTTACCACTGTTCAACCGGTGGCTGGGCATTATGTTATTTTTCTCTACCAGCGGTAAAGCGGTAGCCAGCGCTCAAAGGCTTAATATAACTATAATGGCAGAAAAATTCACAAGCCGGAAGAGGAAACGAGTCGGGGTAATCTAAATAAATTTTTCCAATAGTCATTTCTATACGATTTGTCTTATCCATAGAATTATTCTGAGAAATTTATATATATATATATATATATATATATATATATATATATATATATATATATATATATATATATATTAAACATTTAAATTTCTATCAAACGTTAAAATCTGTTTTTTAATGCTTAAATTGCTAAACTATACCACCCTCTTCTTCCTCCGTAAACCCTAAATATATCTCCTTTCTGTTTACTTCCCCTTCTTTTTCTCTCTACTCTGCTTCCCTTCCAATATATTATTTCCGTTAAGTTAACCGATTAAATAGGTCAATGTCTGGTCCCTCTTTCCTCAATACTAAGTATGATAGAAAGAAATATAAAAATAAAGCCTCTCTAAACACGACCATGTCTCTCCCACCACTCCTGGCTACCCTCTCTGTTAAATTACATAAACTTAATACTACCCGTCAAAATTGTAAATTTTCATTTTATTTTTCGTTTCACCTTTTTTTGAAGTGATGTCTGATGATCCAGCGTCCTTTAAAAGGTCTCTGAAATAAACTATTACAATGGAGCCTTAAAGTGGTCTGGTTTTCTTCATATATATATATATATATATATATATATATATATATATATATATATATATATCCATCAGACAGACAGTTTCGCTGTATCATAGCTCCTCAGTGTGGCTAAACGTCCGATTGCTTCAACTCAGCATCGAATCCCGACAGATTTGACACCTCTCAGATCTCTTACCCTCTTCGCACGGCAGGGAAGGAACGTTTTCTCTATACGAAATACGCCAACAGCCCATAGAACTCAATTCAATTTTACTTGAAGTGTAATGATCGAATATATATATATATATATATATATATATTCAAGCATGTTTGGCAAAATAATTTAGACATATTATGTTTATTTATTTTAGTTTTAATCCTTTCAAGTCCACGAATTAATTTCTTTGTGGTTGCAGAAAATGAATT